GTGATGTTTTGCAAAACTGATTATGCAAAAAATATCATGGCAAAAAAATTCACATGATCATATGAAATGTCGGATAATAATGTGATATTTTAGAAATGGTTCGTGTTATGTAGATAAATATGAAATAAATAAATAAATATGAAATGAATATAAAATAAAATAATGGTCGGTTTAAGTTCGTGTAGCCGATAATTTTACCCCCGGTTAAAATTAAATTCTATTTTTGATGCATTATTGATCAGAATATCAAAAACGTAAGTTTGCGATTTCTGTCTGTCGCATATTTGTGCTATCGTATGATTGGAAACCGATTGGCTGACGTAAAAATATATATATATTTTATGCTCCGGACTTTATATCGGTTTCCGATTTCTAGTAAAATAACAATTTTCAAGATTTTAAATCCTATTTACCTAATTAACAAGTTCTTTATTAAAATATTCACACGTATAATAATTTACAAAATATTTTTAATATAAACATTACCAAATTATCACTTTATGCCCTCTGGCAAATTAATGAAAAAACAGGTTAAAAATTTTTTCGATAATTCCTTCACTCACATAGGTTGTGATACTGAATTCGATAACCAAATTGCTACGTACTGAATATATACAGTGAATTATAATAAAGCACGACATTTTTTGCCGTAATTCATTATATAATATCTGATATTATATAATTACCACTATATATGTATTCAATTTTTCCTCTAATTATTGGTCATAGGCAGAAGTTCGTCTGATTGATAATAAATTCAAATTATTTATACAGTTTAAAGTAACTTTTTAGAAAAAATAAAACTACGAAGAATAAAGAGCCACCATTAAAAATAAACTTAATCAATTCTGGTTTTAAAGAAGTTAGCATAATAGCGACTTCTTAAAGATAGGTTATTACCATGCTAACTTCTCTAAAACCAGAATTGATTAAGTTTATTTTTAATGGTGGCTCTTTATTCTTCGTAGTTTTATTTTTTCTAAAAAGTACTTTAAACTGTATAAATAATGTAAAATTAATTTGAATTTATTATCAATCAGACATTTAGAAAGTTGAAAAAAAGAATTTTATATGTTACCATAATTTTAAATATGAGCACCAGAGATCAGACAATATGCTGTACCTTGGGTATGTACAGTACGTATGTGTTACACAGAGACTCCAGATTATGCGAGGTGATAATTGTGCGACTGTAAGTTACACAATTATTTATGTCAGTTTAGAGTACCCCTATAAGAAAACGTAATCGCTCATATCAGAATATATTGGTTTTTGGCCTTACTAGCAGCTGGCAAATTTAATCAGATATAATCAGATTCCCGGGAGACTTTCACTAATGCCACATTTATACCAATAATAGTATAGTATATACAGTAGCTTAAATAGGTTCGTGGCTTCTTTTTTGAGGTTTTTTTAAGCATTTTTTTCAAAGTGGTTATGATTTGTCTCAACTTGTTATTGAACTAACATAGGTACTTACAAAACCAAGAAGAAGGATCTGTATTATATATAAACTTGGAGAGAATATTATTTCATAGCTAATTAATTAATTTTATTGGTCTCTAAAATTGATTATTTAAAAAAGTTTTAAAATTGTTAAAGCGATACAATTCTTTTATTTTATTTATCAAAATTTCTATTATATACAAATTTTTTATCTAATATGTCTAATTCATATAATTACTAAAAAAAAATAAATAAAATGACTAAAAAAAATCTTGAACAAAATTTTAATTAGTTGATATTCGAATAAATAAAATAAATATATAGATAAGTTATTATTCTAATGCTAATAAAAATACTGTATATATATAAAGCACACACTATCTTTTTTTTTCATATGGTTGTTATCTTTTTTTTTTGTAGAATTACTTTGATCAGCTAAATTAAAATTCAAATTTCATACTTAGCATATTGTTACTAAGAAGCTACAATTAATAGCAAGTAACTGTGATAATTGTTGCAAATCATATTGATGAAGCTATTTGAGAACACCCTTAACAATTACCAGTAAATGCTCTTTTTTCATACTTGCAATTTCTTATTATATCATAAATAATATTTCCTCCAGGTTTAAATAAATACGGATCCTTCTTCTTGGTCTTGTAAGCGTCTATATATAACGTTATTAGCATAAATGTGGCATTAGTGAAAGTCTTTTTGGAATCTGATTATATCTGATTAAATTTGCCTGCGTCTAGTAAGGCCAAAGACCTATGTATTCTGAAAGTTATTCGATCGTAGGTGACATACACTGCGACTTTTCTTATAGGGGTACTCTAAACTAATATAAATAATTATGTAACGATCAACAATCAAACCGACTTTCCATCATGCTTTTACCGCATCTGTCCGTGGTCTCTAAGGTTACACAATTTATTTGTACTGTGTCCATGCGAAGCTTCAACAATATAGCGATAGGTTTTATTATATATCAATATATCAATATACACCTAGATATCTATCACATGGTTTGGGCTGTTCCGAGAAGTTTGGGTAACATTGCATTACGATAACGATAAGAATATTAATTTTCACAGCCACAATTCTATATTAATATATATATATAATATATTGTTTCGGAATATATCTGATATTTATAAAATTACATCATATTGATCACGTTTTGTTTATTGGAATAAATGTGTGAATTAAAAATTTCAAATTGAAAGAAATGTCATTTTGTTGAAGATGCAAGAATTAAAAATTTAATAACAATTGCATTTAAAATAACAAATCCTAAAAAAAAAAACAAATTTTGTTCTTAAGAACGAAATTCCTTTTTAGTAACTAATGAAATGATATCGTATGACTAGGTTCGCGCCAAACATTACACAATTGTCCAAAAAAGTAATCATGTGAGGTCTTGGGATTTCCTTTTTTTCCGACTACACATTTCTTATTTAAACTACACATTATTATTTAATATATATCTGATATATATATTTTTTATTTTTTCAATGAATAAACTATAATAAACTACCTATTAGATAATCGTTCCCATTTTACATAAGAAAAAAAAAGTGAAAAAAAAAAGTGTGAAATAAATATGACTCTTTATCAATTTTTTTGAATAGCATATCACTTTTACTCGTTAAAAATTAAACATGAAATTCAGCAAAACCTTCGAAGATAGTCTGGAAAGAATTCCTTCCGACTGGAAACCATTCCTTATTAAATACAAAACCCTTAAAAGATGCATCAAAAAGATTGTCCAAGAACTAAATGTTAAAGGTGTACAGCAAATTATGGCTGACAAAAATAACATAATTGAGTATAGTCTTGAATGTTACAAGCCTGAATGTACCTTCGAAGGTTTGTTTCGAAAACCGCTAATTCTAAAGGTTGAATAAATAATAACCTTCCACTTATTTTTCAAATATAGACGGCCCTGTTCAAGTCCGTCCATGTGTTAAGGTCTGTCCAAACTGTTCTGGAAACACTTCGAAAGAATGCTTGTATGCCAAGAAATCTGATTCAAATTCTTCTTCGCCGTTGGACCTTCCGAAAGATGACAATATAATGCTCACGCCTTTAGCAGAATATGAAACAACTAACATGGAAGAAAGTTTAACCCAATTCTCTAGGTCATTATTATAACAATTTCTTTATGAATCCTATTTTTCATAATCATTATAATAATTTCTAAATAATTATTTATTAACAGGATTTCACGCATTGAGCTTGAAGCTGATGGTGAATTTTTTGTCATGCTTTTGAAAGAACTTTATCAACTAAATTCCCTCCAAAAGCAAAATCAAGACAAGTTTAACACTAACCTAAAAAATTTACGAGAAATGTTGATTGAAGTAGTAAGTTTTACATTGTTGAATTTAGTTTCGAATCAAATACAAGCTAATTGACATGATGTAACTTACTTCAAAATAGACGTCGCCCTTTAAGAAAGATATTTATACTTGGCGTCAAATATTTCAAATTTATATGGAATATAAGATTTTCGTTGGTAATACAGAGTCTGACAGAAAAGAAAGAAATTGGGAACTCGCTCAAAAACAATTAACTTGCTTCATTGATAGAATAGACAAATCCCATTTGGTAAACTTATTTCCATTAACATTTAGATATTGTTTGAAAAATTGCACGCTATTTATTAATATTACTAAATATTCTTGCAGGTTAAAAAGCTGAAACATCCGTTATCCAAAACTGCTTTTGATAAATTCGTGTCGGTACGTTACGCGCACCTATCATTTATCACGTGACCATGTTTTGATGCATATCACTTATTTTTTTTTTTTTTTTTTACTTTTGTCCTAATAGCTTAACGTTACCCTTGTCTTGATGAAACAATTTCAGTACTTTAATCTAATGGCAACGACAAAGCTTATTAAAAAGCATGACAAGAAAACACATCTAGTGTAAGCTTGGTTGCTAATCAATTTAATACAGTTACAAACCAAACTAACTAAATCGTCTATCTTTTTCCAGTTCTAGCACAATGTTCCGAGATTTATTGGAGAAGTATTTTCTTACCGAGAATACTTTCAGATCCCTATGCTATGATATGGTAAACATATATCCGAAAACTTATTTACTTTAGTAAATTGTTTTATTATATAGTACTAATATAATTAATATCAATAGGAGCAATTAACATCCATTATTCCTCAAATCGACGATTACCAATGCCCCATCTGCTTAAGTAATTATTTTTTTTTAAAAAAAAATCCAACTTTCGTACAAGGTTTTTTTGAAAATAAGATTTTTGACTTTAAATATTTTCAATAGATCTCGCCTGGAAACCTATTCGTCTTTGTTGTATGCACGTATTTTGTGTTCGATGCCTGGTCAAATCCGTACGTAAAGGCATGCGTAATTGCCCAATTTGTCGGGCAAAGAATGCTGTATATAACGCGGATCAAAGTATGTATAAATTATCTGTCAATTATTTAGCATAATAATTTTTCAATAACTTAATGGTTTTAATATTGTTTATTAGGCAACTTAGACGTGTGTCTGATGAATTTCATGGACCTCTACTTCCCACTAGAAGTTTACAAAAAACAAAAAGACGACGATCGAGAACGAGTTGCCGAAGAAATGGAAGCTTTAACAGGCCTAAGAATCGATGAAAGACAAACATGTGTATTATTATAAAGGTTAAATATTCTATACTGGAATTAAGGATCAGTTTGAAAACCTCTTTACATTTTCATTATTATTTTTAATTGTATTTTTAGTATGCACTAATTCTTTCTGAATATTGTACCTGTGTCATGTGATCACATAATTATCATACGATACTGCTGGGTACTTTTTATTTATGAACCAAATGCTTCCTTTATCTTTATACATTATATAATTATTTTTTTATATTTATCGTTATATTTATTTACATTTTTCGTTATATTTATATGCTTTATTTAAGATTATTATGTTAATTATGTTATTGTATATATATATGTATTCTATGCGTGTCTTTTACCTGTACTATAATAATGAGGGGGGGTGGGTTTTTAAATTGATATTTATTTTAAATCAAATAAATTTATCTTTATCTTATGTATTTTAAATGAGCTACGATTAATTGGACGTAAAAGTTCTGTGATTTAAAGTGGCCTACGTATATGCTAGCCTTTTTTTAATAATATTTAGTACGTTGTAAAAGTACAAAATATGAGTCACATGATATTACCAAACACTAAAGCTAATCTAAACTAGTGTGTTAGATAGAACTCTATATTACGTCACGGGGTTCTTAATTTGGAATCACGAGATTAGACTACTAATTCTTTTTATCGAGGGATTAGTATAGCAAACACTTCTTCAGTGTTTGAACTCTGAGTTCTCTTTTATTAAAGGTGAATAGCGTTCCTTTATATACATGTTATTACATAAGAATAAAATTTTATAAAATTTTCTAAATTTTAACAAATTCTTAAAATTCCCAAAATTTAACAATTTGACAATTTTGTCGATCGCAGTTCCGGTGGTAATTACAAATCACGAAAAATTTTTCCGAACGATAGTATTTTCCTTTTTTGATAAGTATCAGAGATCACAGATTTTGCTAGAGATGCAATCCGTTTGCATATCCCATTCTAAAAACCCATAAATGTTGAATAGGATCTGCATCTCTGGCTTCAGATTAAAGTGTATAAATACAACGCCTAAACTAATAAGAATTTGGTGAATTTGCATAATAAACGAAATAATAACGTATTTTAGCTCTCCCACCCGATGTAATTTTCGAAATCGAATTGGCAAAAATCACTATATAAAACTTAATTTTTTCTTAAGTAAATTACTGAATTAGTTTTAGCATACTAAGTAAAAATGTTCATCGAGATAAATTACATAAATTAAACTGTAAATAAACAAACATCAAATCAGAATCACATTACCTGTAGTTATCTGTATTTAGTGGTATATGATATGACTTAATTTTTTATTTACTTTTAAAAAAAAAATACATCAATATATTACTGTATTAGTTTTAAATTTACGGTATTTGACGATTATTAAATCTTTGTATAACTAACTATTCGACATAATAGTTCATCTCATGCAATGATTCTGTAATTCAGATATGTTTTCTCCCACCCCTATTATCTACATCGGAAGGATTTCTTTGATGAATTTCTTTTTTCAAAAGAAAAAAAATCATTTTATGTTACTATTAATGTATGCGGATGCTACACAATTTATAAATATTTTCTGTGCAGCAAATAAAAAAAAGTGTGAACAAAATTTTGTTTCTGATTATTACTAAATGTATGTTGATCTGTTTGTGGTAGAACTTCCATTTTTGATATACACCCTAACTGTATTACAGAATTATATATTATTGTGAAATTTTTCAAAACTTTTGTCAGTGTTTAAAGGATATACTTGTAAAAGCATTTTATTTTTTATTTTTTATTTTTTATTTCTTTTACTTTTCATACTACACTATTATATTAGATCTAGTTGTTTTTGAATAATGTGTTCATCCTTTTTATCTCTACACTTCAACACACCATTTTACTACTAGGAATACTTGTTTGAAAGCTTGCATACTATTTACTTTGCTTGTACTATATACTTTATCTCTAAAATTTATACTATGATTTTTTTTATTCTCTTATAAGCTTACAGCAATTGCATTCTAGGCAACTTGAATCTTGTTTAATTTCTGGCTTTTCGACTTTGAGCTTTCAAGTTTCTAGTCTATACATAATAAATATGACTTTATTCTGTTTTTTTGAAGTCTAACTATAATACTGTTATTGCTTCAAATAGGCTTGATATTTTTTAGAGACATGAAAAAAAATACATTTTTTTATTTTATTTTCAAAGTAGAGCAACTTTTAGTTAAAGAAAGGCTAGTGTCAACTAAAAAATTACTGGGTTGAATTAAGTGGTATACTTCCAATAGTGTACTTGTCTTCTTCAGCTTCAGCACCCTGACTTTGCTTGATGAAGGTTTGTTGATTTTTATGGGATAGATAGGTTCTGCACAAAGATCTCTGATAATCTGAATATTCTAGAAATTCTAGAAGAATCAACTATGTATTTCTTTTGTTAAATAAAAACATTTTGCACTATTTTAACATTTTTATTTTATAACAGGTGAATTTATAGCAAATTCTAATATCACCACCTTCAGCAAATTTCAAATACCATTTGGATGTTTTTTTTTTATACTCCTGACTATATTTATACCATTTTTCCTTGCTCATCCGAAATGATCTTTTCAACAGATTTCAAGTACCATCAAATTTTTTTTTTATCTTTGGCTATTTCTATACCATTTCCGTAGTAGAATCTAAGATTTAATTGATTGCCCATTCGAACTGCTGCTTCAACAAATATCGAAACTCTTTTTTTATTCCTAACTATGTTTATGCCATATTGATCTTAATAGACTTTTCAAGAAGGTCAGACACCTATATCGTAGTATCAATATTAAATATTTTATTTATTATGCTGTATCAATATTAGATATTTTATTTATTATGCTGGATCATTAATTCGATAAAATAATAAATCTATTTTTTTACATTGGCTCAATAGTTTCATCTTTATTTGATTTGCTGTCTTCTGCTATATTATCATTGTCAAGAACTTGAATTAATTGTTATATAAAATTGCGCGTTATCAAGTGATATGCTTCAGCTTAATTAATAAAATATGAATTCATTGTATATACCTAAATTGATGTCATGAATTAAAATAACAATAATCGAAGATGTGTTACTTTAGCCAAAGCATTATCCTTTTCATAAGATTAAAAATCAAAAAAAAAAAGTATTCCGAAATTTTTAATATATGGAAAGATAGCTGCACAACGAATGAATAGACCAGTAAATTATATTCATTATAAGTTCTGTAAGTTTAAAATTATAATAATTGAGAATCTTAGAATTCATATTTGCACTAATAGCTGTGATTACTGATTTAAGGCATTATAGCATATACGTACCATAGTAAATATCGTATAAATTTTGAACACAGTAAGCTGTATTACCGTAAGGTTATTGCTACAATTTTATTTAAATTATTGCTCTTTATTTTGAGAATAAGTGCTAAAAAAATCAAAAAATCAGATTCAAAAAAAAATAATAATAATAAATTAATTCTCTTTTAATTATACGTGTAGTACTTATCCGCTTATATGTTGCAGTACCTCACAGCCCATACTTTATCGCTAGGACAGTTCTTAGGAACAGTGCAAATCACGTGTGTAGGTTGTTAGGGACAGCCCTAATTTCTCCCAAGTTGTGATTGGATCACGTCACCTTAACACAGTCGCAAGATCAAAGACATCGTTTAGTTTTTCTAAGAAAAAAAAAATTTTTAAATATTCTTATTATCGATAAGCAAAAGTATTTTATTTTTTATTTATGCACTTCCAGAAATCTTTCTGCCAGTAAAAAAAAAATCGAAAAAATCTATACCATTATAGAATATAAATTTTTATAAAGTTTTATTCGGTACTTTATTTTCAAGAGAATAAAAATTCTACTGAGACCTACGTTTACAAGAAGCTTGTAATTTTAAAATACTGTATACCCAACTCTGTTTCAAAATTCTTTAACTATATTCTAGGCCGCAATTTTTACTTTTGTTAAAAAATAATTGACATGAATATTTGAAATGTTCAAGTACAATACTGCAAATAAATAAAATGCTACTGCAAATTGCTAATTAATAGATGGTTTAATACTAATATAACAATATAACTCAAGTTCTCAAAAACCATTTTACCAAAAGACATAATTAGTCAGTATTATGTTCTTTCAGGAAAATAACTTTCGGAATTCGTATAGTAACCCTGATGCAATATTGCAATAGGTGCTAGCTAGCTAGTTTGCTAATTATTAACACAGAAAATAAATATTACTGCTAAGTTGATAAATAATTTGTAAAATACATGCACTTGCAAAAACGAAAAAAATTTAATACTTCGCATAGCAATATGAATTAAAATAGGTGGGTATGTTTATTCCAATTAAATTTTACATGATACAGTAAATTTTTACAGTAATATTCGATAAAACTAGCGAAAGTTTATTTAATCGTAATACAAAATTACAGTATTTACTAAAAAAACTTGAAAAAGATATAAGTCAAAAGAGCAAAACGTTAGTATTAAACAGTGAAAAGAATTATTTAAAAAAAATTTAATTAATATGTAATCATTGCAAAAATAATATTTGACATGATCAGTGATGTAATTGGTTTCGTCCAATGGGAAGTTTGGGGAGAAATTAGTAAACCCACAGTAAGGGTTGGTTTTACATAGTAGTATCATGTGAATATGTTCTGTCCTTATCGTTATTGTAATATTATCCGTAAAAAATTCATACCGTTTATCACATGATTATTGACCAATAATTTTTGTAATGTGTAATGTCGATGTGAATAATAATTAATGTTCGAATTAATAATGTAACTAACAGTTAAGTTGAATTAAGTGTCAAAACAGTGTTCGAATATTAGCGTCTAATTTTTTTATTGGACTTGTAATTCAGTAATTAGAGACGTTGGTAAAATTTAATTTCATCATTTCTTTATCGTGATCATCACGATTATCATTTTATCATATGCGTGATTGTGGCACAATGGGATGTCTATCTGTCGTTTGCTTTCTCAATTCTTCTGGGTTCGACCGTAAACGTTGTTGATTGGTGAACGAGTATTGGAAAGACGTGTCCTCGAATGTAATTTAGTAAGTAAAGCTTTTATGTGTTTCAGTTAATTATGCGGTTTGTAAAATTTTCTAATTTAATCGTATGGTTTATAATTTTGCTATTATTCAGAGAGGATAGAAAAGATACACTATTAATTCTATCGGCGGTTAACTTCACTGGATCTTAGTAATAAACAGAAGGTGGAACAGCGCTAGCCACTGCACTTCGCATAAATACAATTTTGGCCACTTTGAACCTTTATAATAATGACCTTGGATTAACGGTCTTAAAAATTTGGATCACACGATCGATTCAACGTTGACTTGCGACAAAAAATCAGAGGTGAGTTAAACTTATATCACAGAGTATTGCATGTTTAGTATACGCGTGTGTGTAAGTTACGCTGCAAATGAGAAATCACTTGTGTAGGCACATGCGTTCTGAAACTGTGACTGGTGGTATAAACTATAGAAGGTTACGCTAAGGACTAGGAGGGTACGATGATGACATGATAACACTAGATGTTGCATGTTTAGTATACGCATGTGTGTAAGTTACGCTGCGGGAAACCGTGTAGACACATGCGTTCTAAAACTGTTTCCCATGTAGTTTAGACTGTCAGTCACGCTAAGGACTAGGAGGGTACGAGGACGACATGATGTACTCATCATTTTATTTTTATTTTTTTTTTAGTGTTGAGCATATCTTCCGAAAAATATCCAGGCTACACGAACTTTTACTCAAGTATCACGACATTACGATGAAGCTAAATATTGCTGTGGGTGTTAGATCAAATATCAAAAGAAAATTTTAAGGTCAGTAATATTAGCTTTGGTTATTTTCATACGTATTATATAAACACTAATCTTCAATTTTTTTTTTTAAGTATAAGGACTAGGAGGGTACGATGATGACATGATGTACTCTTCATTTTTATTTTTCTAGTTTTGGCTTAATAGTGAGTTTGCTGTTTTTAACAAATTTTATATGATAATGAAAATTTGGTAGCTTTTCTACTTGAGTAATAATATATTGATAGTGATACTCTCAATCTTGGTGTAAAATAGCAACCCCCTTATTGTGGTGTGAACCAATGTTTGACTTTTAACGTTAAACGCTCAAGAAAGATGGTTTAACACCTTAAGGCCTTTCGATCTAACAACCTGATGATCCATTATTTGAATATACAAAGTTCATAACATCAATTACAAGTAATCTTTTCGATTTTTAAATACATATTAGTTCAAGATCATACAAATATCTTTACTTAATAAAATTTTATTCTTCATATGTGATCTTTTACATTGTGTACTCAAATTATTATACATTTTTTTTATTTACAATATTATTTATCATATTCACAAAGGGTACCTTTTCGCAAAAGCGGTGAAGTGGATTTAATTGAAAAAAAATATATTACTCTCGACAAAGATTAATTTTTTTTTATTTTTATATTTATTTATTATTATATATATATATATATATATATATATTTTATTTATTATTATTTTCATTCGTCAAATTCGCCAAATTTCTCACAACTTTGCGAAATATAGTCAGAAACCAGCTTAATTAGTTCTTAATAAAAAAAAAACATTTACTTATCTAGGTAGGAGGTAAACTAGCCTTAGCATCTTCCTTCATAAAATAGAATATGTTATAGTTATTGTATGGGTTGTAAAAAATAACTAAATTTGCACGGGTTTACATGGCCGAAGGCCATGCCGTGCAAATTTAGTTATTTTATAACCCATATAATAACTATTTTATTGCACGGTGTCTGAGTACAATCCCGTGCCAATAAGTAAATGTAAAAAGCACGGGTTGTTACATAAGACCCGTGCAATAATTTATTGTATCACAGATGTAATAATCATATTTTAACTAATAAAAGAAAAGGGGACAGACCTCGTTTGATAAAAAAAAAACATTTACTTAAATATGAGTAAAAATTTTAATATTTAGCTTTAAAGCATTGCTATGGTAAAATTATCAGTTGGGAATTTTTACTTAATGAACGATCATTAGTAAGATTCTTGGGCAGAATTGATCAATTCCGGCCTATCCGACCAGGATCCCTGTAGATAGTTAACAACAAATCCATATTTGGTTAGTTCAATTACAAAGGACAATAATAAAAAAAAGTACATTTTTATAAATGATCGTCATTCACTTTAATTAAGACAAAAGCCTGTTAAACCAACGAAAAATACAAGTTGAACGTTTGTTATGGTTCATACTATAAATAAATATAGTGCTATGTGATGTAATATCGTGAAGTTTAAGTGTGAATTTCACGTTTTATTGCATTGAAAACGAAATAAACCTCCAAGTTTTTTTCAAATATTGTCCATAACTCAAAATTTCAACTACAAACACATCAACATCAGCCGCAACTAATGTTTGTGTCTGGCATTAGTGCCTGGCACAAAGCACCTATGCCTTTAATAGTGCTGGCCTAGTGCCTATGGGCACAGGCACGGCACAAGGCACAAGGCACTAGTGCCTGGCCTAGTGCCAATGTGCCGGGCATGGGTGTCCATGCCCGTGCCAAATTTTGCCCATGTTCGTGCCAAATTTTTGTACCCATGCCCGTACCAAATTTTTGTGCCCATGTCCATGCCCATGCCTGAGTCTTCATGCCTATTATACCCGTGCCCATGCCCATGCCCATGGAAAATTCTTATACCCATGCCCATGCCCATGCCTGAAATTTTGTTGGGCACGGGCATGAGCCCGGTTTGCAGGCCCTAATAGTAACTATAAATTTTTTGTTATTTATATATTTTTCGATACAATATACTGTATCTTATTTAAAAATCATTATATTCTAATAAAATTAATGATTCTATTTATTTTTATTAAATTTAGAAAGTATTTATTATCACCCGTCTCTTATAAAAAAAAATTGGTTATTCCCAAATTTGGGTCCTTAAAGCGGTATATCACGTGACATGATGCTTTATAACTTTAGGGTTAGGGTATAGGTAAAATTACATCCTGACATTTTAGTTAATACTCCAAGACGGGTTTAAACTACAGGTTCTATTTTTCGCATATTTCTCAGTTTTTCACTTGTTTCTTGTCGGGCTAATCCGGAATCATCAAATTTTAACAATTTGATTGGTTAATTATAGCATAATCTGTCCCGCTTTAAGAGACCCAAATTTGGGCCTGTTCGTTAAGATTAATCCGGTTAGAAATTGACAATAATAATTGGCCTCAATAGGGTCTTCCAACACGTGATTCCAAATATTTTAAACTATAGATTTGCACATAACATTGAAGAAAATAAATTAAAGAAGGAATATATTTATTTGATTTACTAATTCTACTACAAATTCTTTAACATTATATCAAATTTATCCTAATAATTACGCAATCAAACATGAATTAATATGATATACTATCTTAAATTTGCCAATCAAAAACAAGCTATTTTCTAGAAGATTTAGTCATCCGCCAAAAGTTCTTTAAACGACTTATTTGTATTTTCATAGGGAAACATTTTTTAGTTCTTTAAATAGTCATTACTTTGTCATGAATAAATTATAACTAATTATACTGTATGGAGTCAACTTTATATAAAAAATATTTTATTATCAGTTCTTTTAAATAAAATATATTATTTTTTATGTTAAAAAAAAAGTGAGTTAAATAATCTTTATCAATATATTTGCTAAAAGATTTATTGTATAAAAGAATAAACAATGTACGAAAGTCAATAATCAATTGAGAAATTTTGAATTCCGGAGTAGTCATCTGAACAGATCTGAAGCACAACTTTGACTTAAATTAAATATTTTATTTAAGTTATACTTTTATAACCTGAATATTTTTTAAAATTTATAACCTGAATATTACACATGATCTAAATATTTTTTATGCCAGCAATGTAAATAACCTAGACATATATATATATTTATAGAAATTGCTTGAATGTTATAATTTTTATATATGTATAAATTTTTTTAATAAGGAATTAAATAATAAAAAACAAAAAACAAATAATTAATAAATTCTAATTGTTAACATTAACATTAATATAAATTTGTTAATTTGTATAATAAATTTGTCAAGTTGTATAATGTAAAAGAATTTTACATATATATAACTCCAAAATATTATTGCAATTTCATAAATTGAAAGATTGCAGTTTTGTGTTATGCATCTAGAAATATATATTTATATTTATAATTAAATAAAATTTATTTAATTATATTTGTTATTTCATCTTTGATAAATAATTTTATACTCACTATCTAATAATAATTTAATTATTTATAATTGATTAGATAAAATTTATTTAATTATTATATTATTTTAAATTTGTCATTTTAAATTTATAAAATAATTTTATATTTACTCAGCTAATAATTTAATTCTTTACAATTAATTAGATAAAATTCATTTAATTATTATATTATTTCAAATTTGGTAAATAATTTTATACTTACAGGTGGCTAATAATAATCAAATTATTTACAATTGATTAGATAAAATTTATATAATTATATATTATTTCAAATTTGTTATTTCATATTTAGTAAATAATTTTATACTTACAAACTAATAATAATTTAATAATTTATAATTGATTAGATAAAATTTATTTAATTATTATATTTTTTCAAATTGTATTTCAACTTTGTAAAATAATTTTATACTTACAACCTAATAATAATTTAATTATTTATAATTAATTAGATAAAATTTATTTAATTATTATATATTTCAAATTGTATTTCAACTTTGTAATAAATAATTTTATACTCACATTCTAATTATTTAATATTTATAATTAGATTTAATTATCATATTATTTCAAAATTGTTACTTATATTTGGAAAATAATTTTATACTTACGAGCTAATAATAATTTAATTATTTACAATTAATTAGATAAAATTCATTAATTATTATATTATTTCAAATTTGTTGTTTCAAATTTGTAAAATAATTTTATACTTACCAACTAATACGTAATTTAATTATTTACGATTAATTAGATAAATTCATTTAATAATTATATTATTTTAAATTTGTCATTTCAAATTTGGTAAATAATTTTATACTTACCGCCTAATAAAATTTAATTATTTACAATTGATTAGATAATATTTATTTAATTATTATACTATTCCAAATTTGTAAAATAATTTTTATACTTACAATTTGCTGAAAAAATTTAATTATTTACAATTGATTAGATAAATTTTATTTAATTATTATATTATTTCAAATTTGTTATTTGGTAAATAATTTTATACTTACTCACTAATAAAAATTTAATTATTTACAATTGATTAGATAAAATTCATTTAATAATTATTATATTATTTCAAATTTGCTATTTCAAATTTGTTAAAATAATTTTATACTTACCAGCTAATAATAATTTAATTATTTGCGTTCGATTAGATAAAATTTATATAATTATTATATTATTTCAATTTCGTTATTTCAAATTTGTCATTTCATATTTGGTAAATAATTTTATACTTACAGCCTAATAATAATTTAATTATTTCAAATTTGTCATTTCATTTTTGGTAAATAATTTTATACTTACCGCCTAATAATAATTTAATTATTTACAATTGATTAGATAAAATTCATTTAATTATTATTAGGGTCTGCATGCCTGGCACATGCCTTGTGTTCAGCA